CATGCAGAACAGAAGTAACTTAGGGGTGCCAGGCGAGCTCCTGATGATGAATTATGGCCGAGAGAGCATCAGTTTTATTTGTGGTACCCTGAAAATATGCCACAGCAATAGATGGCCGATCCTATCCAGAAGAGAGCAGGACAAAGAGAAACTAAAGTGGGCAACATAGAATATTCGACCCCACGGATCAGTTTATGCTGTGCAGTGTGTTACCCAGGGTCCATTGTTTGTGGAAAACTAGTGATCAGACCTCATTTGTGAGTCAATGAGCAGGACAGGCTCTGTCAGCTGCTCTCAGCACCAGTGTTATGTGGATCCTAGTCATGATGACAAACACATTGAACTTATTGAACTGACCTTTCTTTTTCCTCATTTTAAACTGGTGACAATACTTTTAAAATGTAGTTCAGTTGTACCAGGTCATTGGGATCTTCAGGGTGTCATTTCAGTAAATGCTGACAGGTTTAGGGAAAGGATGTGACTGAAAAAGAACAGGAAGAAAATGCATTCTGCGTTATTGCATAAATAAACCTGAATTACACATTTATTTTACCTGCCTTGAATATAATTTATACTTTCATTTTCCCTCACCCCCCCGCAAAGAGTTAATCTTCAGGAAGATATTAATACTAGACTTCATTCTTTTTTTCTAGAGAGAGAATAGGTGGTTTTTACCAAAAATTGCAGATCAAGCTGAAAGTCACTAATAGTGCCATGAAATGAAAAATATTCTAAGTCCTTGAAATGATGAGAAATGACAACTTTAAAGGATTGGCAAAAGCAGCAATGAAACGGATCAGTACTTTTCTCCTCCTCACCCCCCACCATCCTGCTATCTGGTTGGATAATCCTTCAATATTTTATGCTGATAAGAAACAGAATAAGTGGGTAGGAAAATGGACTTATGACTAAGGGCTTAATCCGGAAATGAATTAGGACACACATCTTGAAGTCAGTTTCAAGTCTGCAGCAGGCTTCCCCTAACATCTTCAAAGTTAGAAAAGACCAAAACCATTTTGTCACATTTGAACTTTCAAGTTTAACAAACTACATGAAAGATGTTCAGATGTTCTTTTCTAGGTTATACTTCATGGGCTAGTCTATATAAATGCAGATTTCTTATTCTCCTTCTAAAAGCCTCAGAGTTTTGTTGTAGAAAAGCCTAGCATCAGTTAAACTTTAAATTAAATTTCATTCTGTAAGAAAGTTCGGATACAGTGATGTCACATTTTTGGCAGATTCATCTTCACAATGGATTGTGCCCTCACATTGCAAATGCCTTAGGAAAGTTTTATGTGATTTTAAATTCCAGAACAGTGGTGGAGGAAGGCTAGGAATGGTGAGACTTTGATAAACAAAGAGGCCGTCAGTAACACATTAAAAGGATAAAAGGATTTTAACTCAGCTCACTAAGCTAGAAACCTCTGCTTGGTTTTCCATCTGTGAGAATTTGCTTTTTTCAATCATCCTTTTAGGAAAAACGTTCAAACAGTGAGATTTTCAAATGTACTTTTGAGATGACACTTGTGGTTGGAAAGATCTTGTGAAAATCATCAGTGGGATGATGTTATTTGTACAAATGAAAAACGCATCAGTCACCAAGTTCTGTCCAGGCACCGCTGACCTGGATGCCAGTAGTGTGTTTATTTCCATCCAGGAGGCAGCAGTGTGTGGCCACTGGGCAGCAGAACGAATTCAGCCATTTTTCATTAGCACTTGGACTTTGATAAAGGGGAATAGAAAAGAGCTGCTTGACCTTTCGGTGCTTAAATTATTAAAGAGCAAATAGATTTGAGGTCTGGATGCTTGCAAATCTAATTTGTCTTGTGGAGCAAGGATGAAAAGACATTTTGGGTTTGAAATTGCTCTAGTCAACTTAGTTCTTCCTTTAATATATCTGAAGATGAGTAGATGGTAGCTATTTAAAAAGTAATACGTCTGGAGTAGAGTGCATGGCATAACGTACCAACTGGCTGAAATGGAGGCCCACTAAATAATCATTTAATTCTTGAATTTTCATCTGATCCTCATCAACTTGCTACTTGGAAAAATTAATTTTTTTCAGCCGTATTCACTTAGATGGCATTAAAATTACAAAACAATTGTCTTTCTCCAGGGGGTGTCAAATATCATATTGTTCAAGTTAAATCAGGCCAGTGCCTGCCACATACTAGGGGCTCAGAAAGTATGCGTTGACTTAATAAATGAGGAAAGCTGGGGAAAGATGGATGGAAAGTGAGGATGGAGATGAGGGGAGAGAGGAAGCAGAGTTGCAGCTTCCGATTCTCTCCATTTCTCCTTATTTGCAGGTTGTACAGGATAAACTTGCAATCTAACCTGCATTATCTTATCGCAAAACCTTTTTCTTGGTAATTCCCTTCTCTCTTACCTCTTGGGTATTCAGGAAATGAATACAAAAGAAACTTAGTATTAAGTTTTAGTAAAGCGAAGCATATTAGTGAATATCAGCATATTTCCTCCCTCCTACTACATATAAGGTATATAAAGTAAAAATTACTTCTGGATTACGTTACGCTTTCAAAAATATGTACTTCGTGGCCCACTTCATTCTGTCTCGTGAGATACAGCAGTGACTAACTGTATTGTCGGGTGGTCAGGAGACCACATCTACTGTTTAATTAACTATGCCCCAGATAGAATGGGCACCTCACCTCTGAACCTCAGTTTTCTCACAAGTAAAACCAGAAAACAAAACCTACATGTGCAGGGCTCCTGGCCTAGCACTTCCTGTATGGAATAACTTCTGCAAATTTTTTTCTTCGCATAAATCTTCATATTTCTACTTTGTCTAGTATACTAGGCTTTCCGGAAGTTGTTTTTAAAGTGGAATTTTGAAAATCATGTCCTATAGGAAGTAAATTGGAAAAGCTTGCTGATAGAAGAAAGCCAGTGTTAAAAATTACTTAATGGAGAATCTCTTTGCAAAGCAATTAATTATTCTTTGATTTATCCATCTTGTGAGAGTAGTTCTTGTATGCTGAATAAAAATTCTGAATAAAAAAAAATATAAAATGTACCTTGGAGACCCATCTAATTCTCTCATTTCATAGGAGAAAAATAAGAACCAAAGATGTTAATTTAAAACCCCAGTTTTAGCAGAATTAGGAGTAGAGTCTAGGGGGATGCACACGCCAGTGTCTGCTACCCTTACAGAAGGCGTTGCAGGAAAACAGTCACACTTTCTTAATGATGTTTGCACTTCTCTAACGGAAGCCTTGAGTGTTACACATTGTCCCTCTGTTACATTCTGTTGGTTGCATGCAATCTTCAAGGTTAGCCAACGCCATACTTGGTGGGAGAAATGCCAAAGAACTTGCAGATATAGTGGAATCGCCACATCTGACTGTAGATGTAAGAGGTCAGGGAGAAGCGGGAGTGAAATCAAAGCCCCCTCTGTCTCTGCCTGTGTTCCTTGTTCCCCCCACCCCCAAAGGAAGGTCCTTCCTAAATTCTTCCTTCCATGTTGGATACACCCTGCAGTGAGAACTCGGCAAGATTTGGTGGAGCATCTTAGGGGACCAATAGAAAGTCTTGATGTTAGGAAGTAAGAGTCATATTTCTCTTCTTTTCTTTAAGTTTACATCCCTGCTCAGAAGTCCCTTTATCATTATTTACACTGTAAGCCTGCTGGACTCCCTGCCTACTGAGCAGTCATTCTGATGTTGTACAACCGCCAGTTTTTCTTTGGACAGAATTACAAACCGAACGGCAGCTGCGTTGCATGACTGAAATAGAATGTGCTAAGTGGTTGTACTTCCAGAAACAGGAGATTCACTGGGTGCAGATTCAGAGTTCACACGGACAGGAGCACAGGGAGGGACCTCTCTGGGCCGACCCCAGCTCTTGGCCTTGGTAGGCACCTCCCTTCTATTCTGTTTCCCCGGCTTTAATGAGCGGCTGTGCTGAGCAGCCCCAGGGTTACAGCGTTGCTCGGGGAGTCAGGGTGCTTTTCTGACAAGGTAAGAAAAAGATATATCTCCTTGTCAGAAGGACTTGCAATCTAGTCTGGATTCAGTTTTTGAAAGCTGTTGTCGAGGTTTGTTTTTTCTCAGTATTAGAAACTTTTCTTTTCCCCAACCAAACTGCACAACAGTTCATCATTCTAGTAAATGTATGTAGCTCAATAAAGAATTCCATCCCTTCAAAGTTTCTCCTCTTCTCCTAAGGTTAATTCGAAATTCACAGATATTGGAGGGGGGGTGGGGAGGGAAAGGTGAGTAGGGACCAGGAGATCCACTCCTTGGCGGGGACATCTGTCTCACTGGCATCTTCTGAGGATACTCATTCCCATCTTATCTTTATATAGAATTCAAGTAGCCCTGTTCATGATTTACTCTTAGAAACCACTTGTAACCCCAGGGTGTTGGCTTTTGAAATTCCAGTGCCTTTTCTCTGCTTTTCTGATGTCCTCACTTTCCACTGACCAAATATGGTGAAAACAAAGGAATAGAAGAAAATATGGGAAGTTACACCTTCGTTAACCCGAATCATCACACATTGTATCTTGGAACTTGATAAAACTTCACACACAATCATACAGATGTCACCGAAGAAAATATTACATTGCCTTTTTTAATAAACTTACGGTTAATATTGATTGGTTCATTGACTAGGTAAACTGAGTTCATTTTCTACAAATTCATCTTCAGTTACATGTAAGAAGAATGTTACCTTGGTCTCCTGCTCACATAAACAGCAGAGATTGTTATATAAAAACGTTTTAACTATGGTAAATTTTCTTTCCCTCCAGAAGTTGTCTTATTTGGGGGTGAGAGAGTTCTGTGCAAAGGCATTAAGCACTTTCCCTCTCTGTCATAGAGCAAGTGTTGAATCCGTGTCCATTAGGCACTAAGCACTTATTATTGGCTCTCTCCAGTGTGTTCTTTATTTGGGGTCTCCTGTGGGTCTCCACAGTTGAAGACCATGGGAATCAACTCTGTTATCCGAAACTATCACTGATAATACTCTCTTTTTTCTAGTGTCTACCAAATAGTTGTCGAGGAAGAGCGTCCTCGAAGAGCTAAAAAGACAACAGAAATCTTAAAATGCTACCCGGTGCCCATCCACTTCCAGAATGCTTCTCTACTGAACTCCCAGTACTACTTCGCTGCTGAATTCCCAGCCAACAGCCTCCAATCGGCTCAGCCTTTTACTATTGGTGATAATAAGACATACAGTGGATACTGGAACACCCCTCTCCTTCCCCATAAAAGCTACAGAATTTATTTCCAAGCTGCTAGCAGAGCCAACGGGGTAAGTTTTATAAATGGCTGTTTACTTAGGCCATTCAGTGTTATCAGTGCGAACACAGTCAGATCAGATAAGGTAGCAGTAAGAAGGAAAGTCATGCTTTTGTGTGCTTTTACTTGGAATAAATGTGTTTTATTTGCTCTTTTTAAAATTATTTTCACCTGGAGAAATTCATGGGAAGAAATGCATATATTCATATTTGTTTGGGTAGGAAGAAGATATTGTCAACATGATGGTTTTTATTTTCAGTTTTTACTTGTTACCAAAAGTTGGCTACTAATTCTGCTTAGCCTACTATTTCACAGGGAAATAGTACAGCTCTAACACGTACATTCCGCTCATTTACAATTTTGTGAGATTCACAACATCTGTCTTTTCAGCATATTCTGTACCATTTCTTTGGTTCCACAAGAGTTTATGCTGCCTATAGCTGGGACTAAATTAGTTATCTTTCTTTTTTTTCTAAGAGAAAACAGCTTTGGAAAGATGAGATAGAAACAAAATAAAAACTATCAAGTTGTTTTTGAATTTTTTTCCCTTTCCTGTTCAGACCAACCCAGAGCTCTGATGAGATAGGAAAGTCTCCTTAGAAGGAAGGGCGAATTTTCCAGATATGACAGTGGTTTCCTCCTTCACAGCGTGGGTCTCGGTACCATCACTGCCTTTGGCCAGTGAGAAGCGGGGGAAATCAGGGGCACGGGTTTTGCCCACGAGTGTCTGCACAGGGAGCCAGTGAGGGTCCGGAGGAGGAAGCCAGGGGGGCCACCTGGCAGAGGCGTTCTGTGTGTAACTCCAGGCTCGCCATCTGCTCCCAGGGTGTCCATCAGCACCACCGCCAGCACTGGAACTGGAAAATGTATCAGAGCGCAGTCCAAGTGCTAATCACTGTGTGGTTAATGCCACACTTGGAACAATGAGAACCTCCCTTATCCGTATTTAAAGAGAACTGCAGAGATTTTATTTGTTTCACATAAAACATGAATAGTGATTTTTTTCCCCCTCTTTATTTAACACAGGAAACCAAAATAGACTGTGTCCAAGTGGCCACAAAAGGTAGGTTGAAATTGTGCGAAGCTCTGCTGTCTTCTGTCCTTTACGAGTTTAGATGGCGTTTCAGAACTTCTTGAAATGTTCATGTCATTGAAATCAGTGTGTGCTTCTAGGTGTGTGCTAGGATTGTAGGCCAGTTAAATTTGACTGTGTTTCACACAGGTATTTCTTTTAAATGAGAAGTCACATTGCTGTGTTTCAAAGCAGTTTTCAATGGTTATCTTTTTAAAACTTCTATTAAAATAGAATTATTTCTGTTAAAATAGAATATTTTTATATGATCTCGTTTATACTGTGGTATAAACCACAGTACCCTGCATAGTAATACTGTGTCTAACGAATGTTCAGATGCATAATAGTAAAATACCTGCTGCTGTTTTAAAGCAATTATCTAGTTATAATAGGTCTGTAGAGTCTGCGTGGGCTTTTTTCACTGGGGATGTGTGTCTCTTTGAACCCAGGAACCAGGTGATGTTATTGTGGACCTTGTGTTTCCCAGGCCTGGTTACAATCCTGAGAAAATGGGATGGAGGCCGAAAGGTAGATTAGGATGAACCAGCATGAGCTCACCACACAGGGCCTCCTAAAGAAGAGTGCAGGTGTGTGTGCGCGCGTGTGTGCGCGCGTGTGCGCGTGTGTGTGCGCGCGTGTGTGTGCGCGTGTGTGTGTACATGTACTGTAACATCATCTCGTCAACCTCGCAGTGTGCTTTTACCATCCCATGTGGAAGTATTTGAGAAGATGCCGCGAGAAACATCCGATGCTGCGGGAAAACGAGGCAGTATACGTTAACACTTGCAGTTAAATGCACTCTTTCAGATCAGTAGAGGAACCATGAGGACAGGGAGAAGTGCTGGGAGATTGAATTTGGGAAGGACGGCAAGAAGGCAGAAGGCACCAGGTTTCGTCAGCTCATAGGGGGTCACTTGACAAGTTCTGTTGGATGAACGTATCTTGTTTTTGCTGTTTAACGCTCAGGCAGCTTAGTTTGAATATATCATGGGTGCCCATCAGCATTTTCAAAATTCTCATTGAATTCGTATTTCTTGAAGAAACATGACCTTTTTATTCCATTAACTTGACAAACACTTCTTGGTTTCATGTTACGTGCCAGGCCTTGTGGGAGGTGCTCACCTCATTTGTATTTTGTTTGTCCTCATGGGCTCATAGCTCTATTTCCAAGAATCTCCTTATAGTGATTTTAAAACACTCAATTCTTTATATCATATTGTACCTGATTAAGAGCCTTTATTCGTAGGGATAAATTAATAAAAAAATGAGATTACAGATATTGATGTGTTTTCTAAACTGTAATTCGCTGTTGACTATTAATTATCACAGTATTATAAGGCCTTTGAATGAGGTATCGACGTTCTCAGGCCTCCGATCAAGGCCCATGCTCGGATTGCTTTATTGAATTCTGCTGACCCTTGAGGTCTCAACAGAAAACCCAGTTCCAGAGTGCCTGATTCATAATGCCTTGCGTTTCACATCACAGCTGAAAGTTAAAATTACTTTCATATGTATGTTCTCATTTATTTCTTCTAAGTTACTGTGAGAAAGGAGACATGTATTGCTATTTTTATTTTTGAGACAAAGAAAATGCATTATTTGGGGAGATGAATTGACTTGCCAAGGGCACTCAGCTAATAATCTGTGTGTCAAGGCTTGATCCCAAGCATTTGGCCTCCTACACCAGTGTTTCCCTGTATCTCATGGCTTTTCACCCAGCAGAACCTCTGGCCAATCGTAGTTCTGCAGCATATGAGTATCTGTCCTCCTTTTTATTAGAACTGAGTCACCACCCAGTTGACTCTGGAAAGAACAGAATATCTGCCATCCCGTTCATGTGCAGAGTTAAATAATTATATAAACAACACTAGTAAATATGGAAATGTGATGTTTGCTGTTTTCACAATAGATTGAATTAGATGGTGATTTGGATCGTTTTCTTGTATCATCAGCTAGATTTAATCAATATTGTAATTTGTTTTTCAATTCGCCAAAGGATGATTAGGCAATCAGATGACCTGATTGACTAAATATTTCTCTGCTCATATTTTCTGAGTCATTTGCAAACATTTACACAGCAACAAACTCTATCCAACCAAATAACCTTTTCGGGGGGAAGAGGGAAACAAATTTTAATTTTGATTGCCTCACTTTGTCATTCCTATTCATAAAATCACAGCACAGGAGGGAACCTCAGGAGATAGTCTCCTGCTGGGTGAAAACTACACTGTTTGGTACCATTTTATTTCATGAATTTCTATACGTACAGGTTCAGCAACCTTCCTTTACAGCACTGTATAATGTTTCATCACCTTTATAATCAGATAATTTTTTGCTTATTCATACTAAAATTGATTTTGCAATGAAGGAAGCCATTCCATCTTGATGACTTCATCAAAACAGAGAAATTGGCAGGTCTGACAGTGTTACTGGTACCATATCATAAAGATGTTTGAAATTTAAAAGAGTTCAAGCATCTTGACTGTTTTTGCCACTTAGCGCTGACAATATAGTGGCTTAATTGAATTTTCAGACACTAAACCACTTTCCTGAGCAGCATTTTGAATTTACAAAGATTTCAGTGTTCACATGAAACAATTGTTGACAAGTATCTTTATAGAGAATGTATGGAGGTGGATTTTTTTCCGCAAGGAACTAATTTGTAATTTCAAACACGGATATGTCTCTTAAAGATATATTTCATGCTAGTTATAAATTTAATGTAGTGATTATTTTAATCGTATTCCAAGGGTACATTTTGATTCTAATCATCTCAAATGTAAAGCCTCATAAAAAATTGGACACCAGAAAATACCTAAGGTGCGTCATTACATATCTCCATATGTTGGGGAATTGCCTGTATTTTTATATATCCTCCTTTAATTTATATACCTAGATTCATCATAAGTATATGTGGTTAGCTATAGGCAAACTCACCCCAGACTCTTCTATCTCTTGAGTTAAAAAGACACCATACAGGACTTCCCTGGTGGCGCGGTAGTTAAGAATCCGCCTGCCAATGCACGGGACACAGGTTCGAGCCCTGGTCTGGGAAGATCCCACATGCCACGGAGCAACTAAGCCCGTGTGCCACAGCTACTGAGCCTGCGCTCTAGGGCCCGTGAGCCACAACTACTGAGCCTGCAAGCCACAACTACCAAAGCCCGTGTGCCTAGAGCCCGTGCTCTGCAACAAGAGAAGCCACTGCAATGAGAAGCCCATGCACTGCAACAAAGAGCAGCCCCCACTCGCCGCAACTAGAGAAAGCCCGCACGCAGCAATGAAAACCCAATGCAGCCAAAAATAAAATAAATAAATTTATAAAAATTAACTAAATAAATTAAATTGTAAAAATAAAAAAAGAAAGACAGCATACGATGACAATATACTTGATGTTTTGGGGTTACCCTCCCAACAGGATTCTTTTTAATCTTTATGGTGGAGTACATAGAATGGCTTTTAGCTATTTTTAGATTCTCCTAATTTTTATTTTGATTTTTAATCACATTCACATTTTTATAGTTGAATTCTGTTTAACACCACTTGATCCAGCTATGTGTTAGCAATGCTTGTATATGTTTTCCTTAACTTTCACATACCTTATGGCTGCCTATGGTAACTAGTAGGGTGGAAACTCTTTTCTGCTAGTTTTGGAAGAATTTGTTAGTGATCAATTCTAAAGAATTTGTTGATGATCAATTCTAAACTGACAGGAAACTTTTACTTTCACTTAAAAGTAAAAATCTGTCTTGTTAGTAAATTAGATTTCTTGTATTAAATGAGGTATAGTCATTCTAATTGATATAATAATTAGTTTAAACTGTATACTTTGCATTAATCTCCCATAAAATAACTTTTTCCATGACATGATGCCAGCTATGTTTCTCCTTGACAGTATAGCCATTTGGGAGCTTTCTTGTTATACATTTATTAAAAAAAAATATTTGAGGACACACGTAGATCAAAAGTGAGGGGATGGAAAAAGATATTTCATGCAAATGGAAATGACAATAAACCAGGGGTCACAATACTCATATCAGACAAAACAGGCTCTAAAACAAAGGACATAAAGAAAGATAAAGAAGGACACTACATAATGATAAAAGGATCAGTACAAGAAGAGGATATTACACTTGTCAACATACATGTACCCAGTATAGCAGCACCGAAATACATAAAACAAATACTAACAGACATAAATGGAGAAATTGGTGGGAATACATAATAGTAGGAGACTTTAACACCCCACTCACATCAATGGACAGATCTTCTGGACAGAAAATCAGTAAGGCAACAGAGATCCTAAATGATACAATAGAACAGTTAGAGTTAATTGATATTTTCAGGACATTTCATCCAAAAAAACCCAGAATACACATTCTTTTCAAGTGCACATGGAACATTCTCTAGGATTGACCACATACAAGGGCACAAAACAAGCCTCAACAAATTTAAGAGGATAAAAAAAATTTAAGTGCCTATTATGTTAGGCATAGTGTAATCTTTAAAACTTCCAGACATAGATACATAAATATATCACTTTTTAAATTTTGAGGATTTTGAGTTCATAAAAGTTTTGAGGTTTTTGTTTGTTTCTTTGTTTTTAGTGTATGGGGGGGGCATGTCATATGTATTAACTTATTCCTCTCCTTGCTGTGATTTGACTAACAGCAGTATAGCTAGAAATCAAGACAAAGACTGCATGAAAACCATATGCTAAATTATTTTCAAAAGTATTACAGTAGTCAGATATAAACCTTAAAGAAAAAGAAAACAAAACCATTATTCTAATGTCATATTTTAAGGTGAATTTTCTGTGCAAAAATGCTCCACTGCTTTTAAGCGTAGTCTTTTATTTAACTTACATTTGTATGGCAATGTGCTTTGCTGGGAGACCTTCAGGAAACTTTGAAGGATTTCTGTTGTTCTGATACAATTTCTAACTATATTCAGAAATGTGAATGTTTCTTTTTTTAATCACTAGGCTCTTT